ATTCAAACCTAATGGAAACGGACGCACAGTGGTGTGTGGAGGGATGGATGAATGCAGAAAACCACCAGTTACTACCGTATTTCCTCCTGTGGTCCATGAATTCACAAGAAATTCTTTGGCTGTCTGCTTATTGCGCCGGCGGCCTGCTCTCTCTCCGTGTCTGCCAGCCCTGACCGCCCACAGTGGCCTATCTCGTCTATTCACCTAGACTCGTGCCTTCGTGGCACGAATCCCCTATTCCGACCTTGCTTGGTAGGCCGCGTCGTCCGTGACGGAAGACGCGAGGTGTCGTGCTGGTATCATCGCATATCCCCACTTCGCAGTCAGATCATCTTGCAAAGCCTCCACTAGACATGTCCTAGGCACTGGCAACATTGTGCCGTCTTTGACGGGGGGAGGGGGAGCGAGCGAGCAGAACATGACACAGCCAGGTGAGGTGCTTGCGTTGCGACTTGGGGGGGAGAGCCCTCTTCGGATACGGCTCGTATAGTGGAGTCCGGCAGGGAAGGCTCTGTAGTGTCCTCTTTCGTCCTCGCCAATGTCTTGGGAGGGGCACCAACATGTACCTTGGAGCTCTTGGGTGCGTCGCGCGCACAGTACTGCGCCAGAGCCTCGATGGGTTGGTACGAGTAGGAAGAGTGGAGCCCCATGTCCGCTCGCGCAGGTCGAGGAGGAGCAGGGAGCCAGATAGAGATGGGGCAGGGGGCGCAACCTGCTAGTGGGGCTCGGCGGTGCATGGTGAATCTGAAGAGATGGATGGCGGAAGCCTCTTTGCTCACCGACACGTCTCGCTACACACCCAATCCCCCCGTTGTCTATTGTACTGTATCGGTAGTGTGGACTGCGCTCAGCAGGCCAGCAGGCCAGCAGGCCAGTCAGCAGCTGTATCCTTCTGTGGTCATGACGCTTGCCACTGAGGTCGGTGACACAATGACGTCGTCGTTGTTGTGTCTCCCAGGCCCTCGTCATGTCCGAAGCTCTCCTCGCGGGCCTGCCGGAGCGGCGTCGTCGGGATCGCGAGCCCAAAATCCAGCAAGCCACAGAAACAAACTTCAAACACAATAGCGTTGATAATAAGTTGCATCTAACGGAAGAGCAACAGCACAGGACGCTGGACAACGGTGATGACTCGCCAACGGCCCGTCTGTCAATCCTTCTAACCCCCATGGGCATTCGAGCCTCCCGGGGGGGGGTTTGACTTTGGCGCCGGCCGGCCACACGCTTGTCTCGTTGCCGCGGACGGTCTTTTCTTGCCCTGCCTTGCCCTGTCCCTTCCTTGCCAGCCGCTCGCCTACCGTCTCATGGCGCAGTCTCTGGCGCTGAGCTCATGCCACCAAACACCAAACAGGAGGATTCCCTCCCAAGTGAACGTGAACAGACCACCGCCGTGGAGTGATGATTTGGCATCCATCCATCCAGAGAAACGGATGCAGAAGTGACGACGCCGTCGAAATCCGTGACCGAAAACAATCCTCCGGCTTTCGTTTCCTCTCACGACGTGCCCTTATCTCTACTGATACATGTCATTGATAGGGGGACGCACGAGATGCAGTCGCAGCTCTACTGCGCGCGCCGCGCTGACTGGAAGGACTCCTCGGTCACGATCCACCCTCGCTCGTCGTGCTCAGCTCA